GGGAAGTCCAAGATCAAGGTTCTGGCAGGTTTGGTGTCTGGTAAGGGTCTGCTCTCTGCTTTGTGGACAGTGCTTTGTTGCATCCTCACTAGCAGGAGGGGCAGACAGCTCCATAACATCTCTTTTATAAGGACACAAATACTGTTCATGAGGGCTTTGCTCTCATGACTTAATCACCTCCTAAAGCCCCCACTTCGAGTGTAAATTAGTTCAACCATTGTGGAAGACAGTGTGGCGATTCCTCAAGGACCTTGAAATAGAAATTCCATTTGACCCCGCAATCCCATTACTGGGTATATATCCAAAGGATTATAAACCATTCTACTATAAGGACACGTGCACACAAACATTCATTGCAGCACTGTTTACAATAGCAAAGACCTGGAACCAACCCAAATGCCCATCGACGATAGACTGGACAGGGAAAATGTAAACACCATCGAATACTATGCAGCCATAAAAAACAGATTTGTGTCCTTTGTAGGGACATGGATGAACCTGGAAACCATCATTCTCAGCAAACTGACACAAGAACAGAAAATCAAACACCGCATGTTCTCACTCATAGGTTGGTGCTGAACAATGAGAACTCATGGACACAGGGAGGGGAGCATCACACACTGGGGTCTGTTGGGGGGAAATAGGGGAGGGACAGCGGAGGATGGGGAGTTGGGGAGAGATAGCATGGGGGAGAAATGCCAGATATAGGTGATGGGGAGGAAGGCAGCAAATTACACTGCCATGTGTGTACCTATGCAACAGTCTTGCATGTTCTTCACATGTACCCCAAAACCTAAAATGCATTTAAAAAAAAGCCCCCACCTCTTGATAATACTATCACATTGGCAATTAAATTTCAACATATTTATTTTAGGGAGGACATATTCAGACCATACCAATTGGGCAGGGAGTTGGGAGTCTTACTGTTCTCCTGAAGTCTTGCCTTGTTGATCGCTATCTGTGTTACATGTAACCTCTGTCACCTCTAATGACTACCCTTGGGCTTGGGGTATAGTAGGTGCTCAATAAACGCTAACAATGAAAAAACAAAATTGTCCCCGGGATCAGGATTCTCCAATAGGCAGTAAACCCTTAAACGCAGAGACCACAAATATTAACTCTGTATCTCCAAGTCTAGACAAGGTGTTTAGCTGACATGCTCATTTTCTATTCACAAAGTTTATGAATTATAGTTTGCTGTGTTTGAGGGCAATATTTGTAGTATTGTTGATAGGTTCAACGGGTATACCAGTTTCTCAAATGAATATCCTGTGTGAACCCCAGTTCATTCTTATATGCCCTCCCCACAATCCCTGTAGTCTAACGTCTTGTCTCACAACTCTGCTGCTCTGTTCTTCCTCCATGTGGAGTGCTTGGCGTATGGTAGATACCCTGCACTCAAGCAGAGGAGAATCACACCAGAACATGAGTTTCAGAAGGTGGGGATAATTGAGCAGCCATATTGGAAACTATCTGCTACAGTTGTGAACCCCCCACAATTTGAAAATTACGTATATGAAGATTTCAGCAAGATGCCTGACGCTTGGAATGTATTCCATAAAGGGCAGTATATTATTCCCCTTTCCCAGATGTGAGGGCAATCCTAGGAACTTCTGTACCAGCTCTCTTGGTATTAAGCACATTTACAGTGTTGTGCAACCATGATTATCCATTTCCAGAAATGTTTTGTCATAGCAAACAGAAACTGTAGTCATCAAACAATCGTTACCATTCCACTCTCCCCACAACTGTCAACCTTTATTCTTTCGGTCTCTGTGAATTTGCCTGTTTCAGACACCTCACATAAGTAGAATTATACAATATTTGTCATTTTGTATCTTATTTTCTCCACTAAGCACAATGCCTGGAGAGTTCATTCATGTTGTAACATGTGTCAGAATTCCACCCCATTTTTGTGTATACATCACCTTTTATTTATCCATTTATCTGTCAGTGGTTATTTCTACCTTTTAGCTATTGTGAATAGTGCTGCTATGAACATTGGTGTACACATATCTTTCAAGTACCTGTTTTCAATTCTTTCGGGTTTTACCTTGCAGTGGAATCGCCGGATTATATGATAATATAATATAACCACCACACAACTGTTCTCCACAGCAGATGTACCATTTCATATTTCCACTGGCATTGCATGGGGTTCCAGTTACTCCACATCCTTGCCATTACCCTTGTTATTTTCCATGTGTTTTTATTTTATTTTATATATACAGATGTATGTATATATATTTCTAATCCCTATTCTAATAGGTATGCAGTGGCATCTCATTGTGGTTTTAATTTGGATTTCCCTATTGATTACTGATGAACATCTTTTCATGTGCATATTGGACATTTGTATATCTTCTTGGATGACCTGTTCTTAAAGCTACCAGTGCTGTCCTTCCAGGCAGATTCAGTGGTGGTCTCTTAGCTGTAAGTACTTCTGTACTTCCTTTCTCACTATCTATTTTAAAATATCTTAGAGCTCTAAAATTCTTGTCAAATGCCTTCAACTACCCGTCATATATCGGTCCTGGGATAGCTGGCTGTTACTTCGAGTTCAACATGTATGATGCTTAAATTGTCATCTTGGTCTCGTTACTGTCTCCTAATTTCTGTCACTGTCTCAGTTTTTGCCTTTAGTTTAGCTTTGTCTTTGTCTTTGTTTTCTCTATCTTCATTCTCTGTATTCAACTACTCACCAGTTCTGCTTTGGTCTTGATACACAGTTTTTAACTTTATCTCGAAAAGATGCAAACTGAGATTCTAATGAATAGAATGATATTCCATTTAATGATAAGGTCCTTTGCGAATAGATTGATTAAACTATTTATATCTAAATGAGAAATGCTATTGTGTTCTCTACTACAATGCCTTGCACACAAAGGGATTAAATAAGTATTTGTTGAATGATTTGATTTTACTTTGAATATTAAGTGTTAGCATACAAGGCTGTAGTAGTTTATTGTTTAATTTCATCCTAACGTAGCCTTAGGAGGAAAAAACAGTGTCAATTTCAGAAAACACACAAGAAGCTGCAATTAACTTTTTCTAACATGTGCCACATACAGGTGTCTTAAAAATTTAAATTAAAATTTGTGCTTTCTTTTCAAACATTGTATTTAAAGGGTTTAAAAAATTTAAAATGTGTCTAGTAGTGCTTACATTTGATATCAAATGTAAGTGACTAATAATTTCATGTTCTCTGAATTCTTGATTTGTTTCCTGTGTCAGAGATTGGAGACTATTAATAGGCGATTAGGGAGGATATCCTTGAAGTCTCCTTCACACCAAGCATCTCCCTTTTTTTTGGTTCACTTAACTTAATGTGGGAGTTGCTTGTGATATTTTCTGCATTTCACCTTCTGAGGTTATAGGCCCCATTCATATGCCATGTCTCCCTCTCAGATGAGTAAGTATGACTTTTATGAATTTTCTTCACTTGTAGAATTTAATTTACATGAATAATTAGGAAAGGACCAAGTGAAATTTCTCTCTCCCTAGGCAAACAATCTTGTTAATAAAATCAACTGCAAACTTTTATTTTACTTTTTTTTGTATCTTTAAATTTATTGCCTGCTACAAATAAGCAAAATAAAAAGAAATATGGGGTGCTATAGCATACTGCTATTTTGCATATTGATATCTGAATAATTACGTTAGGGCATATTGAGTTATAATATGAAATACTATTCCCTCAAGACATTATCTTAAAATATTTTACTTATTTAGCATACAGTTCAATATTTTAGAATTATGTAGAGAGTATAGTTGTTAACTGGCATGGAATGTGCTGGTGGAAACAAAAAATTAGAGGGACCTAATACAGAAAAGGAATTGTTCTTAGAATGTTACAGCATTTAAATACTGTTGCAATACAGCTGGTCAATTATAATAGCCAACATTATAAAAGAGAAGAAGGTTGTAATTCTGTATAGGTGGTTAATATGTGCATATTTTCCTTTAAAGTGTATTTTACATGGAGTTTGTTTGATATTCAGACCTGTAATCATGTATTTTACAGCTCCCTTTGCACACAGCCAGCAGTGGGTATTCTTTTACGATGCAAAGGCTGGAAATAGATACCAAAAGAATAGTGCCTGAAAATGAAGAACTATAGATTCTGGAGGAAAATGCTCATAATGTGACCCAACAGTCAGCTAGGAATTGGACACCACAAAACATGATGTGGAAGGCAGGTTGGTCTGGTATCATGTACTCTGGTGCCTACATCTTAGCTGCTATGACAAGCCTAGCTGAGATGTATGTTCTCTATCGGCCTAGACCAGAAGGAAAGCCCACCAATGACAGAAACACTGTGGCCAAGCTGGACATAAAAAGGCGTTAGTGTAGCTTTGAGTTTTGTGATTCCACTGACCGTGTGACTATGACCAAGTTATTTCAACTCTTTAACTCCCTATTTCCTTACCTGTAAAACTAACTCTGTGAATTAAATGAAATCATGTGGGAGAAGTACATGTTTTTTTTTCCTAATATTATTATTATTGTTGCTGTAATGAGACCAGATCTTTATATTCCTAGAAAAAAATTTGCTACTGGTATACTGTTCATTGCAACCATTAAAACCTGAAACTGAGGCTGAGATGGGAAGATTGCTTGAGAGCAGGAATTCAAGGCCAGCCTGGGCAACAAGCAAGACCCTGTCTCCATTAAAAAAAAAAATTAGGTGAGCATGGTGGTGCATGCCTGTAGTCCCAGCTGCTTGGGAGGCTGAGGTGGGAGGATTGCTTGAGCCTGGGAATTTGAGGTTACAGTGAGCCATGATGGTGCCACTGCACTCCAGTCTGGGCAACAGAGCCAGACCCTGTCTCAAAAAAAGAAAAGACTCAAGAAAACAAATCAAACCCAAACAAAAAAACAGCGTTGATTCCAGAAGAAAAGGGAAAATGAAAACAAGCCTTTATTTTATATGTGAAGTCATGAAGTGTGTTTGCTTTTATTTTCTTTTTTCTCTTTTTTTTTTTTCATTTTTTTCAAGCAATTGTCTGAAATTTCTATAACCTTGTTCTGGATGGAGCAGGACGAGCCCTCAAACTATTTCAACACTGTTCTGGCCAAGGAATGCCCAGGTCACCACAGACGCTAGCACGCTGGAGGCTTGCCAGCATTTGCTTTTAAAACTGTTTTTGATATGCCTTCTTTTAGAAAATTAAAGATCATGCATATTTGTTTATAAAAACAGTTTTCATCATAAGGCCATTTTCGTGACCACGAATGTATCGTATTCACCTCATTTATCATAAAATTGGTCAGTTTCTATGTATTAAAACACTGAAGTTGCTATTTCTCACTCTCTGCTGTTTGAAGGGGAACAGGATTATTACCCCAATTTTGCAGATGAAGAAACCTATATGCAGATTAAACAGTGTGACTGATGTTTTATCCAGAGTCAATGGCAAAGCAAAAATGGAGTTGAGCTTCTTTCTCTCCTTGGTCTCATAGGCTTTATCACATTTCATGTTGCTGCTATAAACAAGAAACTTAGGCTGTTTGTAAGCATGAGGAACTAAGTGATGGGTATTTAGCGTCGCTTGTGCTAAGTGACCAAAAACTGAATTGATTTCTACTACATTATCAAATTATTCTTACAAAATGGGTATATTGGACTTTCTCATCTATTACTGCTATTTCCAGTGCCTTCTCAATTGCAACAGCAAGATGGCAAAAGGAAATGTAAGTTGTCATGTATTAAAAATCAATTGAAATGACATTTCAACCTTCAGTTGCAGCAAATTCTTTGAGAGAAGGAAACAAAATCCTCATGATAGCAATGATAGCGATGTTTGTGGCTGCTTTTCTAATTAATTAAATGCATGATTTTTAGGTCCTGCCTAGTGTATATTTTTTTGCTATCTGGATGTCACCTTTCTCTGACCTTTCCTCTCTTTTCTGTGTCTCATTTCTTATGCACCTGCTTCATCTATGGCTTAGCTCCTTTGTCACAGAGGAAATGTGCTCTAAATTAATTTACACTTAGGTTACTTAAACATTTTCATATTAATTGAAGACCAAGTAATGCTAGACCCAAAGAAATAAATCCCTAACAGTTAATTTCAAGCACTATGCTACTTGAACGGGAAAAATAGTTTGCTGCTGGTGTGGTCTTTAGGTACACCTCAGATCATACTCACTTTCTTTCTCTTTAAGGCTGTCTCTGCTTTTACCTGTTTCCTGGGTAGATGTGTTTGACTGTGATTCTGCAGAGATGCTTATTTGGCACAGGTTCACCATCTAATGAGGAATGAGAACTTGTGGTTAACTACTGTTTTGGAAGAATAGCTAAAGCGCAAAGTCAGCAGAGTAGGGGACTAATGAAATAGGCCTGTGTGTAGACGGAGAAGGCTTGGCAGATAAATAAAATAGCTTAAAGGCTATGCTGTCAGAGAGTAATATGAAGGCAGACATGAAAATGGGTGGCAAGTTTAGAAGCTGTCCAGAGTCTGGTATGGTAGACATGTGTGGAGATAGATGGGAATGGCCAATTGAAACCAGATTGCGGAGGATTTTAAACACCATGCCAAAGCGTTTGGACTTGAGTCTGTAGACAATGGAGCTCGGCAAGACTCTTCAGTCTGTGTCTCCATAGCCATCTGACCTCCTCCCAGGAGCTCTGCGGTACCCCAGAATGGCAGGAAAAGTATATTTGGAATCAGAATATTTGTGCTCAAAACCTCTTAAAGACTGTATGATCTTGGGCAAGTAATTAAAACGTAGAACTGGTGACCTAGTCCTCTTGCTTGAAAAGCTTTGACAGTGTTGCATATTGGAGTTCAAGTTGATAGGGTCCAGTTAAATAGATTGTGACAATGCATGCTAGACCCGGGGCTTGGAACTAATCCATTTCATGAGGGTAGGTGATATGGTTAGATTTTGTGTACCCACCCAAATTTCATCTGAATTGTAATCCCCATAATTCCCATGTGTCAAGGGAGAGACCAGGTGGAGGTAATTGGGTCATAGGGGCAGTTTTCCCCAGGCTGTTCTCGTGATAGTGAGTGAATTTTGACAAGATCGGGTGGTTTAAAAAGGGGTCTTCTCCCTTTGTTTGACACTTCTCTTTCCTGCCACCTTGTGAAGAAGGTACTTTGCTTCCCCTTCATCTTCTGCCATGATTGTAAGTTTCCTGAGGCCTCCCCAGCCATGCTGAAATATGAGTCAATTAAACCTCTTTCCTTTATAAATTACCCAGTCCTGGGCAGTGTTTTATAGCAGTATGAAAATAGACTAATACAATGGAGCATAAGTGAAGAATGGGTGCTGGAGAAAGGCTCTTTTGGTGGGCAGATGAGATAATCTAGAAGATATGGCGATAGATAGCAACTCAGATCTCATCTCCTCTGTAAAACAGTCCTAAAATCAGTTGTTGGCAGTCATCTCTGGGCTTCCAAAGCTTGTTCCATATGCCTTTATTATAGTAGCTTTGGATTGGTATTAATTATATGCATATTGTATTTTTAAAATGTTCTTTTGGTTTTAAATGACTGAAACCATGGTGGGCTTCTCAAACTAAGTAATAAAAAAATCTCCAGAAACCCAGGTATCTTTATTCTTGTTAGATTGATTCTTCTTCTTCTGCTGAGAAGCTTCTTGGCTTCCCTGTCCCAAGACACATGACAACTCAAAATTCACAGGAGTTGCAGTTCTAACCACTGACAGTGACTAACTGGCTGTCTCAGAATGTGTTTCAGATTCTCCAGAGAAAGCACAGCTTGTGGGTCAATCAGATTTCAGATGTCTATCCCAGCCCAGTCCACTTTGTCAAGGTGAATGGAATCACATAATCCCTATCTGTCTGTACAGGACCAGCATGTGAATGGGCTACAGTTCTCAGGGCAAGGAAAACCAGTGCCTGGGCTGGACAGGTACTATAAAGTTTCCACTACATTGATTTTGTACTTCTTCAAGGATAGGGACAGTGTTTCATTGATATTTTTGTCACTAGCACTTTGCGTACCATTTTGTACATACCTAATAAGCATTGATACATTTTCGTTGAATAAATAAATCATTCCTGGCTGAGATAGGAACAGAATTGCTCATAACAATAATTAATATTTTCAGAGATTTTTATCTAAGATACTTTCTCAATCCATTCATTACATCCCCCCAGCGATCTTGTGAGTAACTAGATTTATAATTCATTTTTGAGAGGAGGAACTGAGGTTACAGATCATGAACAAGTGACAATGAGGAACACACCAGAGTTGAGCCATATTGAGGTCTGGAGAACCAGTCAGAAGAAGGCTGGACATGAGGGTCTGGTTCAGGTCGGCGCCAGAGTGAATAGAAAGTTGAGGAAGGATTATAGAGACATTACTTTAGTGTCTCTAAAGTTAATGTCTCTGAAGAAAACAAAACTAAACAAAATCAAACAAAAACACCTTACTGAAAGATAGTTGCAGGCATTTAACTAACTGCCTTATTGTAAACCTTTCTTTTTTTATTAATGTATAATCCAAATATAGCCAATTTGTCATGAGCAGAAACTAAATCTATGCGTGTTGAGTTCAGATGAATAGGAGACATTCCTAAAATTAGAACTCTTAGGAATTCATGACCAGTTTGTTGTCAAGAGAGGGGTTAGTATACACATCAATGAAAGCAGCATCTATGTACATTTGAAAAATAGTGCCCATATACGAAGACATAATATTTATTTAAAGAGCAATACCATGGGGTGGGCATATGGAATTTCTACTCTCTTATGAGACCTAAATAGCCTACCAGGGTCTCACAGCCCTGAGACTGAGAACCAGTGAGGTAAATATTAAGGATCTCACATACCAGAAATGAACATTGGATTGATCAAGGAAAAACAACCAAACAACAAATTTTAAAATGAAAGAGACAAATGGCAGCTGACTAGTAGTGTGAATTGGTGAGGATCCAACTGTGGGTCAAACTAAGAATATTAAATTTTTGGCTCAAATTCTTGAGCAACATTATGGCTATCAGTAATCCTGCAAAAGTCACTAATTTAGAATCCTTTTCTGAGTTTTCCAATTAACCAGAATTTTAACTGTCCTGTTTATGTAGATTCACTAAGATTAGGGAAAGGGGCATGGCTGTAATTCCAGTTTGAAATTCTTAATGTGTTGGGCTGGGCATGGTGTCTCGTGTCCGTAATCCCAGCACTCTGGGAGACTGAGGTCTCACTTGAGGTCAGGAGTTCGAGACCAACCTGGCCAACATGGTGAAAACCCATCTCTACTAAAAACACAAAAATTAGCCGGGCATGGCGGTGGGCACCTGCAGTCTTAGCTACGTGGGAGACTGAGGCAGGAGAATTGCTTGAACCCGGGAGGCAGAGGCTGCAGTGAGCCAAGACTGTACCACTGCCCGCTGCACTCTAGTCTGGATGACTCAAAAAAAGGATATCTGGATATCTCAAAAAAAGGAAAAAAAAAAAAAAAAAGAAATTCTTAGTGTGTCCACACTCATGGTTGTGTCTTTAGGAACAAGAGTGCTAATATGTATTGAGTGCTTCATATATGCCAGTCCCTGGACTAATCACTTACACTTCTTATCTTCTTTAATCTTCACAACAGGACTTTGATATTGATGCTCTTATTATTCCCATTGTAGAGCCAGGAAGCTGAGCTGCAAAGAGGTTAAGTGACTTAATCAATGTTGCATGGCTATTAACTAGCATGACTGGAATTCAAGCCTAAGTTTATTTGACACTAGAAGTCAAATGTTAAAATGCCATACCATATTGGGAGGAGTCTATGTCCCCTACCCCCAAATCTGTACTCATGACTGCTGTTGTGCTATGTTTTATGTAACTCTACTTATGAAGTCTTGTTAGTTCCAATGTGATTGAAGCTGAACTAACTAGAGGAGACTCTGTATATTTCAATGCTTTCTATCCCATGAATATTTATAGGAAACCATGATTATATCTAAGATTATGAAAATGTTGAATTCTATAAAAACAAAGATAAATATTGTAAGCAAATAATGAAAAAATTCTGATTTTCATTTAACAGTAGCTTGATTACNGATGTGTATACTAACCCCTCTCTTGACAACAAACTGGTCATGAATTCCTAAGAGTTCTAATTTTAGGAATGTCTCCTATTCATCTGAACTCAACATGCATAG